CCCCAGACCTCTGCTCCAGCAGTGGGGTTTGGGGCTTCCAGCCCCTCGCTGCCATTTTCCTTCTCCAGGGGGAGCAGAGATGCCGGTCCCCCGCAACCGCCTGGGGCTGCTGCTCCTCGGGGCATTCCTCACCCTCGTTCTCTACCTCCTGCTCCCAGCCGCCCAGCACGAGCAGCGCTTGGTGGGCACCCGGCCTGACGGGGGGAAGCGGGGTCAGTGGGCGACCAACGCCACTGTGCGAACGGGGATGGCTGCGGGGGAGGCCTTTTTTTTTAAGTTTCCCCAGGTGGTGGCACTGCCAGCTCCGGGAGGTGGGTCAACCCTCTGGCTCCCAGGGTAGAGAAAGGTGGAGGATGACAGGCCCTAAGGATTGGTCCCTGCCAGCCCTGATGGCCTCTGGATGTCTGCAGGCATGGCATCTTCCCTAAACCCCTTCCTGCCTGTCTTCCCTACCACAGGCCCGACGTCCTGTTCCTGCACGGCCAGGCATTCACCTCCAAGACTTGGGAAGACTTGGGCACACTGGCCCTGCTTGCCGGAGAAGGCTACCGTGCGGTCGCAATAGATCTGCCTGGTAGGACCATGGCACTGCGCTTAAGTTGATCCCTCTGGGTTGTTCCGGTCCCCCACCTAAACTGCCAGTGGGCTCTGGACCTCTTTAAGGAGCTAGTGGAGATTCCTGGGGCAGTGTGCCAGGGATTTGGCTTTCCTCCAGGGTGTTGACCTTCATGGCCACCCAGACCCTTTGGCTGGGGCTGTCTCGGTCTGGCTGGCACGTGGCTGTACAGCTGCCAGGGCTTGATCAGGTGCCCAGTTTTTGCCAAGCCGGCTGAGCCTTGGAGGGAGAGACCATTGCAGGCTGTGCAAGCCCCTCTGCTCTGTGCCCAGCCCATGCCTTCTGCCCTGTGCCAGGCTACGGGGATTCGCCCCCAGTGGAGACAGTGGCCACAGCACAGGGCCGGGTGGCCTTCCTGGACCATGTCCTCCAGGAGCTAAGCATGCGGAGGCCCGTTCTCGTCAGCCCCTCCATGAGCGGTCGCTTTGCCCTGCCCTTTCTCCTGGCACGGTGGGAGCAGCTGGCCGGCTTCGTGCCCATTGCGCCTGTGGGTACCAAGGACTACGCTGCTGAGCAGTACCAGCAGGTCCAGGTGAGATGGGTTGTTGGGCTCCTGCGGGGTCCCTGGGTGCTGGTGAGCCTTATTGGCCAGCCGGCTGTAGGGTGGCATGGAGGGTGGCTCTGTTTTGGGCTGGCACCTGCCTTCCATCAGCGCTTTGCAGCCCCCCCGTGATAACAGACGGAGGTGAGCACAGCCAAGGGAAAGCGTGGTGGCCACTTCCCCCTCTGATGACCCCTCTGGTTTTCTCTTTTTCTCTCTCCCCTTGCCAAGACACCCACCCTGATCCTCTACGGTGACCGTGATGCAAGCCTGG